ACACCGGCCTCGCTGAACTGTGAAACCATGGCCTCTGTTTTAAAATAACCTCTAGGGATGTACATTACCCCAGAACAAAAAAGGTATGGTGGCTAAAATCATTTTTCCAATCACCTAACTACTGTTGACATCAAATGGAAAGAGAAGTAGCACTCCTGGCGTGGGGTCCCTGGCCTGTGTCGCTCTGCACCAAACTTGAGTGACAGTGGCCGAGGTGCTTTCCAATATGATGTGGTTGAGGTTGGGCAGTCATCCTGCCTCTGGCAATCTTCACAATTCCCTGGCAGGCCTGACACCCCCACCATTTACGTCCCCTTTTAGTTGAGGTACCTGCTTCAAATACACCCGGGTTATCTGGGAGGGGTTCCTAGTTTTCTTACTGAGCCGATCACAGACCCCGCAGCAGCAAACATGACAGGGGCATTGGCCTTCTGTCCACAGACAAGTTACTAGTGCACGCCATCAAGCCAGTGCTTCTTAAAAGTTAGTGAGTTAAGTATCAGTCACCTGGAGGTTTATTAAAACAGCTTTTGGGGCCTTGCCCTGAGCATCGGACTTAGTTAAATGTGAGATGGGACCTGAGAATCTGCTTCTCTAATAAGTTTCCAGGTGATACTGATTCTGCTAGTCCAGTACCACACTCTGAGAGCCACTGGACCAGCTGATCGCCAAGGAACCATCATGAGATGCAGAGGCAAAGTGTAAAGCACTCTGGTCATGAAATAGGAGGGCAGAGGACCCAGACAGGAAGGGGTCAAGGGTCAGGGGCCCAAAGGCAGGCCAGCCTCAAAGAAGAGAGACTTGCTCACATGACCTGCCAAGACATAAGAGCCTCTGGTGGCCCATGTTCTCATGGGCCTCTTGTCCTTTCTTTTCTGGGTGTTCTCTGCCTACTGCCTGCCCAGAATGGACCACCTGCTGATCGCCTCCTGTGTTTTAGTAAGGGCGAGAGATGCTCCTTCCTGGAGGGAGGCATCCATGCAGCGGATCAGGCTGCCAATGGGCCGCCCGGGGCTCTGCACCCTCTCCCTGGGGCCCCTGACATTTCTGAGAATTTACACGGGGCTCAGAGAAGTCTTAGGCATCATTTCTTTTCTCTCTCTTGAGATCCTAATAGAATAAATTCAAAGGAAAACATGCTCTGATCTTTCAGCCACCTCTTCCTGACACAAACAAGGAACTAATTAGCAGGCCTGCTGAGGAGGCAGGCAGAACGGGCTCTTAGCAGACCACAGGCTGGGCATCCCCTCAGGTGGGGACTCTGGGCTCGCCCTCTGGCCATCTTGTCATTATAGGGGAGAGAGATATCCCGCGTCTGCCTGGCATTACCATGGCACTTACCCGGTGAATAGTTCTGTTCGTGGTTAGCCCTTGGTACATCTGAAAGCACGCTGACACCCCACTTTCACAGGACTCTGATAACAACCCTATGAACTCGGCAGAATAGGAACAATGCAAACATTTGGTAGATAAGATCACAGGGAGTTGTAACACCGGCCTGTATGCCTGGCTCAGGCACCCAAGTGAGACCTTGAGCCGGTTCCTTGCCTTCCCAAGCCTCGGTTTTATCATCTGTGGAACGAAGGAGATGGACAAGATAGCTGTGACCTCGTACTCTAGGAAGAAGCTACATAAGGAATAGGCCAGAGGTCTTGCAATTAGTGGGGTGAGTAATAGCATGAGACCAGCGCCCCCACCACCTCAACGGCACCCACTCCTTCTCCCGGTGGTGCGGGCTGGTGGTTACCCTCTGGACCTCACAAAGACCCAAACCACAAGGGGCTATGTAGTGGGGGATTCGTCCCCAGAACACTCCTTGATTGACTTGAAGCTGCTCATTAACAAAGAGAAGGCCAGTTCCTTTGGCACCTCCTTCACCAGACAAACACAATGGGCAGCTACTTTGTGCCAGGCGTCGTACCAGATGAGGGGATGTGGAAGTGAAGGAGACTGGGCAGAAGGTCACAGCAAGGATACTGAGAGTTCATCTGCACCATATGGCTGGAGGGAGAGGGGGTGCACTAGGGGCCGGTCCAGCCTCTGGACAGCTCACAGAGCCTGACCCTGGCACTGGGCAGAGCAGCCTGGAAAAAGGAGTGCCTTGTCTGTGCCCTGCACACAGGTGCTACCTATGGCCCAGCTGAGCACGCTCTTCCTCAAGGTGAGTGCAGAATCCCCAGATTTTAGAAGGGGTCAGGTTTAGAGCAGTTTGCATATAGAGACCTCTCTCCAAATACACTGTGGGGAGCAAATGCACACTTCTGACCCCAATTAATCTGTTGGCAGAAGGAATGACATGCTCTCTGTCTAGAGTCAAACCTTCTAATGGAATCGAAGAGGAAGCTGGCTCCTATTTGTAATGTGCTGGTAAACATTTTGCTCCCACCTGTTCCAGAAAATCACAGAGTCGACTGAGGGCTGTGGCCAGACTCCCTGGAGGAAGCAAGATGAACATGAGAAGTAAGGGGCTCTCAGCCCAGGAGAGCACAAAAGATGCAGAGTAGGGAGGGGTCGGTGCCAGCAGGCAGAGGGGGCGGGGTGCGTAGAAAGCCTCCACAGAATTTAGAGGAAGGCAAGGTTAATTCCAACTGGGCATCCAGAGAGCCTTCATGGAGGAGATGGCACATGGAAAGAGGACCCATCAAGACAGGAGAAGGCCTCAGTCCTAGTGTCCCTTCTGCCACAGTCAGCTGTGGCAGCTTGAGAAAACTATGTCTCTCCCTTTAAAAATGGGTGATTTGCCCTTAGCACTCCAAGCATTATGAGGATTAAATGAGAACTGATTTAAATGCACATCGGATAAATAAAAGCACCAAATTAAAGCCTTTCGTCATCAGTTGGGGAGGAGTGTGGAGGAAGCTAAAAGCAGAAAGTATACGAGGGAGGAACAGGGTGGGGGCGGGTGGTGCCTGCCAAACCCAGGGCTGATATAAACACCTACGGGCCTCATAACTGGCTCCTATGATTTTTTAAACTCCCACAGCTAATTTTATCGAAGAGAGCCCAAGAAGAGTAAGTCAGAACATGTAGTTTCTTCTACATGAGGAAAATAAAGTCCCTGCTAGAAAAGTGACCTCCTGCCCTGCGTAACAGGGAACCAGTCACTCGCAGTGGGTGGGCAGTGAACCTGGGTGTCCTGCCCACTCCAGTGCGGGGCCAGCACTCAGCAGGTGCTCATGAAGTGAACCGATGGAGCCTAGTGCCTTCTAAGGGACTTCATACCTGCAGGCAGGGCAGGTATTCCGGATGGGGAGACTGCGAGAGCAGTGACTGTCCGTGTCCCAAGCCAGCACTGACAGAAGGGAGCCTCTGCCTGCTCCTGTGGGGTCCCTTCCTCACACCATGCCACCAAGAAGTTTTACTAGAGCCAGTCTTTGCCCCAACAAATCCCCTTCCCTGACTTATGAGGTCGACAGATGGTGCTCTGCGCACTTTCTTGCAAGGCTGCACATGAGCAGACCCTCACAGAGGGAGCGCTGGCATCCCCAAGCCTGCCAGTTTATTCCAATTCAGAAAGTAGCCCTGTGCATCCTAGATGAAGGGATGTCATGAAATCTGTTTGTTTGTTTGTTTGTTTACCAAATAAGAAGTGATTTGAGTTAAAACCTTTGGGTCCATTTTTGGAGTCATGGCTCCTCACAAAAAAAAAAAAAAAAAAAAAAAGGTAGCTAGCAGAGGGCATCAAGGGCATCAGGAAGACAGGAGGCGTTCCCAGTGCTGTTTTATAACCTCGGACATTCCTACATTAACAGAGTTGGCACTGAGGTTTGACAGATGACCTGGCTGCAGGAGGGAAGAGCAGAGGTTAAGCTCCTGGTTAATGTCACCTAAGGGCTAGAGCCATCTGGGCTGATTTGGGGTCTGAAATCTGGGCAGGAGTTCAAGTTCCCACCAGTGAGGGTGGTACAGGGAGCCCTTCCCTCTCCCCCTCCCCCGCAAATGCCCTCCCACTGCAGCTACCTGACAGGTCAGTGTCTGTGATTCTTCTGCCATAGGCTAGCAGAATGGAAGGGAGAGCAGAGAAATGAGGCCTCAGAGGCAAGATGAAGCCTGTTCAAGGTCAGAGCTTGGCTCCCCTTTTATGACCCACCAGATCCTCAGCTGATAAACTAACAGTTGAGGGTTCACCTACTTCCTAGGGATGCTGTCATTCTACCAAAAACATGTAGTACAGAGGTTTGACAGGAGGCTGTAAATGGCACCTATCCCCAACTCTGTTGGAGCTCAGAGGCTCCCCTAAAGTGGCAGAAATTGGGGAGGGGAGAGAATTGAGGGCTCCCAGCTCTGGAGCTGAGCAATGGATTAGGCAGGAAGAAGTCTGAGCCTTGAGGACAAGTGTCAGTGTCTCTACCAATGTGGCCAGGTCAGCTCTGCCCTCTGCGGCTGTGGAGAACTGGGCCACCCTCCATGCCCCCGTGGGGATTCAACAGTACCATCGGCACCCATATCTTTAATATTACACGAGGGGCCAAGGCATCAGGGGACCTGGGAGAGCTGAGCCATTAGCTGGATAAGGTATACTGAGGATTCATGGATCAGATTCATCATTCACGTGCCCTGTCTAGTGATGGAGAGAATGGGACACTGATTGGGTGGGAGAAGTAAGACAAATCTGGGGGCATAGGTTTGTATGCTAGAAGCCTCCAAGAAGTCCTGAGCACACAGTAGGGAGAGGAGGCAGGGACAAAAGGATGCCAGAGGCAAATTCACCAACTGCATAATTTACAACCCTAGATTAGAGCTGGAGGAAATCTTAGAGATCATCTAATCCAAGCTCCTCTAATACAGCCCAGAACTATTGATCATGGTCATTCAGCAGAGTCAAGATTAAGAACCAGAATCTCCCCCCTGCCCTCCCACCAATACCAGTGACCCTTCTGGACGCTCTATCTTCCCCTGCTACTGACCCCAGGTCCCTGATTCCATGGCGCGAGGAATACCCTCTGCCACACTCAGTGTTCTTGAGGATGCCACACACCACGCCTTTCAGCCAGACCTACCTTGTGTGAATAATGCTGATCGACGATCCTCGCCAATCCGAAGTCCCCAATCTTGAGCACAAGGTCCTCTGTGCTGATGAAGATGTTGGCAGGCTTCAGGTCCCTGTGTAGCACGTTGGCCGAGTGGATGTACTTGAGCCCGCGGAGCAGCTGGTACATGAACAGCTTGGCGTGCTCCTCCGTCAGCGTGCCCTGCTCCAGCAGGCGGGCCAGGTCAGTCTCCATGTATTCCTGGACGATGTAGGCCACGCTGAACTTAAACAGCTCACCCTGCAGGTCGGTGCCCTTGGGCCCCAGCACCTCGTACACTTTCACGATGTTGTCATGGTCCAGGCGCCGGATGATCTTGATCTCCCGGAGCGCATGCTTCATGCTGCGGGCATCGCTCAGGGTGATCTTTTTCACGGCCACCTTCCGGCAGGCCCTGCTGTCCACGGCCGACAGCACCAGCCCATTGACACCGAAGCCCAGGGGTTGGAAGTCAATGAAGCGTCCACCAAGGTCATACCCATAGACACTGGCAATGGAGTCGCCCTTCTCAGCCATTGTTGGCTCAGTGGTCAGGGGCTGCCCGTGCGACGAAGGGGCAGACAGGAAAGTCCACGTCCCAGGTAGTGGCTTCCCCAGCACACTTCATTCTGTCAAGTCCCAAAGCAGAGAGATGCTGCTTCTCCTGGTGATTTTGCAGCCACCAGCTCTCTGGAGCCGGGAGTGGCCTATGTCCATACCCGCCAAGCTGCAGAAGTTGGAGGCTCAGGCTGTTTTCTGAACCTGCACGGGGAGAGCTGTCCACCACCTCCTCCATATCCCGAGCCCATCCCAAAGCTTAGGATGGCTCATGCTTCTTGCAAATACAGACTCTTGAAAGAAAAAACAGTGCTTTTCTCTAGGTGAACATAATGTTTTCTGTCACAATGGATCACAGTAAAGCAGCAGAAACTCTCCCCTTTAAATCCTTCGTTCAAAGACGTTCCTTTGGCTGAAATGTGGCGCTGTTGCTGAGCTAGATTCCTTACGATAGTCCAAAGCTCAGCTGAATCACAGCCTCCGGCAGCTTGCTACCTGCTCTCTGTTGCCCAACCAGTTTGGAGGGGTCCAGACAATTGCTTCTGGAGGCTTCTAGAGGTTTTTTCCTACCTCTGTCAGCTCCACTCAGATTCTGATATCCAAACCAGCCCAGTGAACATTGATTGGTGAAGAGGGCTGGAGAAACCCAAGTACTTTTCATGAGCTCCACACCGAGTTATACCTGAAGTCCCACATCCGAGCGGTGCTCAGCTGCCAGGTCAGGATCCTCCGGAGGCTTCAGATGTGGGCGGCATCCTCTGTCACCCCCTCATCCATGCCTCCTCCAATGAAGCTGTGTTCTGCCGGACTTCAGAGAGACTGCAGGAACTTGGCATCTCTCGGACTGAGTCTCCTTCCCTGTCAAAGAAATATAACGTTGGGTAAATTTCCACACTCAGCTTGCAACACCTTCCCACTTGCGTGTCTTTTGTTAACCAGCCCAAGTGTTATTTGATCTGTCCAGCCAAGTGAAACACTGCTTGCTCAGGGGATTCCAGGCTTTGCCCTGCCTGGCCACCCCTCCTGCTGTGTGCAAAACTCCCCTGAAAGAGAGAGAAGATGGATTGATTTGATAAGACCATCAAATGGTGTGCCTTTTATGTAAATGCCTGCTCCCCGAAGGTTAACATGTACAAATGTGGGTGGGAATGATCAGCTCTGACCTTTACAAAGTTCATTTGTTAAGTTCTCCAAACACACACATCAGCCCTAGCTGGGAACAGTGAGAGTAATAAGTAACTATTTACAGGCAGAAAATAAATGATCAATAATCTTGCTTTTCTACTTGGACCTCTTTCCTCTCTTCTTTTGCAAATGTCTTTGAATATTTTAAGAGAGAATTTGCATGCACTGAGATTTAATTACATTGTATCTCTTGCTCACCACCCAGATGACATAAGCACACATACCAAATTACAAGCACATTTTATTGCCACCCTAAATAAGGGACTCTGCCCAGCAAACCAGAACCAGGTCTGCAAGGTGAACTGTATTCTCTTGGAAGATGGGGAGCAAGTTCTTCAAAGCACTGGGTCAAATCCTAGTCTGAAGGCTTCCCGTTGACTGCTGACTCAAATTACAGGCATAGGACCGAAGTGGAGAGAAAAAGCTGCAAAACTAGCAATAGAATTCAGAGCTCTTGAATAAAGGCAGTATCATAGTTTCTAAGGGGTGTCATGTTTTATAAGTTTATTAAGTCAACAAGTGCAAAGAACAAACACTACCCAGCACAAAGAGGTCAACTTAGTGAAGGCTGCTTCTTCAATCTCATCCCTATAGGGATACTTTCATATCTAAACCCTGCTCTGTAAATGGTAAGTGACGCAGGACAGCAGTCCACTCAATGTTCTGAAATTAAGGGGAGAAGTTAGGTGACACAGATGATGTGGAGTAGGGAGTAATTAGATGCCCTCTAAAGACTTCAAGTGAAAGAAATTTTCCAAGGACCTGACATACAGTAATTTCTCAACAGATGTCACCTTTTGCTGCCATTGTTAAAAACTCCCTCACACTTGAGTGAGATTTACCTACCATTCTGTTTCATCTCATCTGGCACAATTCTACTCTGCAAGTTTCTTATTGGGCCCACAACAAAATAATCATAGACTTACAGAATTATAGATGGTGAAGCAACTGTAGCATGTGAGTCCAATGTGCCTTCATTGGGAAGGGCCCGGCCCTCCTTGGCGCTTTTGATGAGGTATCACTATTGGCCTTTAAAGAGCAGGGTCAGATTTGGAACCATCCCAGCAGCATCCCCAGCAGCGAGTAGCTGCCACCCACCCCCAAGTGCCAACAGCATGAGAGGCAATGACTCTAGTACAAGTTCTCACTTTGCAGACAAGGGCACGAAAGCTCAAAGAGCACCAGCTCAGTGCTTCCAGCATGGGCCAGTCAGTAAGCATCTGATGAACAGATAAATGAGTACCTTTTTCTGTTTGAGGATCCCGGCCAGTTGGAGGACAGTGCTGAGAGCACCCTTTGAGCCGCAGTCTATGGTCTGTGCTAGTGAAATCCCCTTGATACCTAACTAAGGGGAACAAAGAGTCACCCCTATACCCCTTTCCGTACCTCCTCTGACTCCTGCAGCCCAAGTCAGGAGACAAACTAAACTGGAGCTTCTATCACTTTCTATCCATATGTCAAGTCTGGTCCCAAGGGCACAGCAAACAGGCAATTATGTATTTTGCTTTATGAGAAGGGACACTTAAGCCGTCTTCCTTTTCAGCTCCCAATGGGTTGTAAACAGAGACAGGAATGAGCACCTGAGCAGGGAAGAGATGACATCACCAGCAAGCTGAAAGCAGGATTTGTTCAAGATCAACTGCAATGCAGATAGTCTGTGAACAATTAAGAGATGCTTTATTTATTTTTAAAACTCCTTTTCCTCTCACATGGGAGGGACTATCTCCCTTGTGTGTGTGCACGTTGGTGTGTGTGTCTGTGTGTGTGATCTTCCCAGTATGCTTGGGTAGGGTAGGTTCCACGCCCCCTTGGGAAGGCTCAATTCCAACCCCTGCACCTTCCTCACAGGCTCCTGAAAGCCTCCTTATTCCTGCAAATTTCTATTTGCTTGTTAATGCCCCACCAGTTCCAGAAATGTTCTCTTGCTTCCTCTCCACTTTTTGAAATTCCCATCATTTAATATGCACACAAAGACTTGCTTCCTCTCTGAAGTGACCTCAGCAACACTCCCCGGTTGCTAAACTGCTAAGGCATCTGTGTGTCTGCTGCATTTGACATTCACCACATACTAGCCAGAGCAGTTGCTGAACTTTCCATAGAGGCCCAACTTCCAACTAGACCCTAATAGTTGGAAGTACCTGAGGAACGTTAGCTATGGATACACAGTTGGGGGGGGGGCGTTCACATTTCTTAGGGGGCCAGTCTTCCCTCCCTGGGACTGCTGTTCTGACGCAAGCTTCCCACAGCAAATCAGCTACTCAGGCGGACCAGCACTTACGAACTTTAGTCCCTTTCTCTCATCTGAGGAGATGCCTCTCTCAGGGTTTCAACACTAACCAGGAGGGCCTCTTCTATTTCTCAGTGCCCCTTTGAGTTTACTATTATTCATCTCATCTCTAACCTCTTCATTTCCTATGTTTCCTTTTTAACCCCTGTGTCTGTTGTAAACCCTTTGCTTTTCTCCCCAGCTGAACTGATTATGAAACACCTATTATCTAAGAAGTCTCAGATTAGCGATTCAATTCTTGCATGATATACCAAGAGGTGCGGGCCCATTGATCCTGGGGCGGGGCAGACCTGGCATCTGAATGTGCCCACCTGGGCAGAGGAGTGGGCACAGCTGCCCTTGGCAGGATGCAGCTTCTCTGAGCAAAACAGTCACTTTTCATTTGGAGGAGTTGGCTCAGAGATGTTCTGAATCACAGGTGTGATTTCCAGCCAGGGAGCTGGCATTTTTCTTGCAAGAAGGAAAGGTCATCGGTTCAGCTGTGCTCGAATGACACCCAACAAGAAAAATGCACGTATCTCTCTGCAAGGGCAGACCAGGCACCCACACATCCAAGGTGAATGTCACAGTAAGAAACACAGGAATTGATAAATATACCCCCTAGGACTCCTAACAATGGAATTCATTCTCCCATTGATTTTTAATTGATTCTCCAGGAATATCTTATTTGAGGCCAATTAATTATTCTCTCATGCACCCACCTTTTAACACGTGGAAGGAAACCAGAGATGAGACGGTCTGTGCTGACGTCCTTTTCTGGGATTCCTGGGGCTCTGGTTTACAAAGCGGCTTTGCAAAGTCTAAATTTAGACTCACCTCCTCTGCCTGCTGAGATCCTCCCAAACCCCACGCTGTCAACTTTCAGCAGAAATTATGGCCCCTAGGGAGGTGCTGACATTTCATAGACACTGCTTTCTTCCCTCTCCTGAGCGCCCAAAAATTTGCAGAAAATCCTTCCTGGGAAGATGGGGTGGGGGAGGGTGTTATAGTCAAACAGGTTTTACACTGTGCAATTCTAGGTGGCACCGTTCAGATCTATCTCACCTGAAGCCTCAAGTTCTCTAGACCAGAGAAAGGTAATGTTTTTCTAACAAGAGAATAAATAACTTGGACTTTGCAGGACATACAGTCTCTGATGCAACTACTCAATCCTGCCTTTGTAACACACCTGACAATAGCTACATTTCAATAAAACTTTACTGATAAAAGTAAATAGGGGACTTGGCCTGGGGGCTAGAGTTAGCTGGTCCCTGCTCTAGCTGGTATAGGAATATCCCCCAACTTGTTCATGAGGAGGCATGAAGTTACAACCTACATTCCTTTCCAACTCTTCCCGCATTGTGTCCTCCCACCTGGACATCCTGCTGTCCCGCCTAGTGGCACAATCCCAGGCCTGCCCTCCCTGTAAGGTACCCTGGCCTTGGGACCCCACCCCAGGCTTAGGTGAGTTCATTGTAGGTTTCATGCCCTCTGGGCTCAACTGTTTACCACAAGCTACCTTTCAGTTCTGCGATTCCACTGCACTGTTGATGCACCTCACCCCTGAACCCCACTTGATCTAAACAAAAGCTTTCTGGAGAGGTGGCAAAGACGACATGAAAAAGATGGTGTAACCAATATTGATCTCTAATTTGGCATATATGGGAAATCTTTGTACTATCTTTGCAACTTTTTTTTTATAAATCTAAACTTTTCAAAAATGATAATTAGAGCCTCCCCGGTGGCGCAGCGGTTGAGCGCTGGGTTGCGAAGCTGCCCGTAGCCTCTGCAGTGCCGGTTCCATCCCCGACTGCTCCCCGGCCACCAGGTGAGGGTCCCACATGGCGCGCAGCAGTCCTACACTGCTGCCCGCTGCTCCCCTCAGCAGTGTACTTCGGACCTTCTGCCTGCTCTGCTCCCCGCTCTGGCTCTGGTGAATTCTCTCACCCTCCCGCGCTTCTGACTGTGCCCAGTGCTTGTATAAATAAATAAATAAATCTTTAAAAAAAAAAGATTAATTAAAAAAAGATGGTGTAACCACACTATTGAGAGTTCACCACAGGCCAAAATTTGGTCCATTAATTCAGTTATGTCTCAAAACAACCCTACGAGGTTAGTATTATTCTCCCATGAATCCCCAGAGGGAAGTGACTTGCCCCAAGTCACACCATTAGCTGGTAATGAACCTGGGACATAAATTCAGGTGAGTATGACTCCAAATCCCCCACTATCATCACAGGAATACTTATCTGAGCTCAGGTGAGTGATTCTCACCATGAACCATCAAGATCCAGTGTGATTTACTAGGTCCAGTGAAGGACAAATTTAGGGGAAGCACAGCCTGTGGTCCCTCTCAAATGACAGCACAAGGCAGTCACCTTTTTAGCCTGTGCTCAGCCCCAGTGCA